GTTAGCCATGCCCTGACTTAGATCAGCCCAGAGGTTGTTTCAGGGTTCAATCTGTGAGTTAGCCATGCCCTGACTTAGATCAGCCCAGAGGTTGATCCAGGGAATCAATAAGTTTAACTGAGTAATGAGAATTATGCAGACCGTCGACCAAATGATATGCATTTCATTTTCCTAGTCATATACAAAGGTTACGCTACCTGGATGATTACGACATGGAAGATGGCAGTCGTCTATCTTTCTTCCACGTGGTTCCGGGGGCGACTATCAAAGTTTTACTCTGGCCAGAATGGCAAAAATTGGTCAAGGCTTCAAGCGAAGGAGATTTTTACGGTGACTATCCTTCCATCCCTCCCAGTTCTATTCTTACACATTATGTTTTAAATTTTGCAACCATTTAGACATTTTGATTTTTATTTGCTCAAGTAACCACCCATCCATCCCTCCCTCTTATTTTGTACATTATTTATTGACAGTGTTCATTTCGCAGTTTTTGCCTGTTTCTTCGGTACCTCGTCATTACTTCATTTTCCCATTTTCCCACTCTTCAAACCGTCCATTTCTTTATCGTGTTTTTTTTTTGTCTTACAGGTGTTCTTGCCTGTGGAATCAGAGATCCCACGACACGACCTGAGCCAAAACAAAAAGAATTCAACGAGAAAGCAGCAGTAGCACTGTACGTTGCATCACATCAGGGTCACATGTCCACAGTATCACGTCTGGTGGAGGCTGGGGTCGACCCATGTAAAGTGTTGCCTTCTGGGAAATCACCAATTCACGTGGCTGTGGAACAACAGCACGTGACTTGTGTCAGCATTCTGATTGGTAAGTGATGAACCGGGAGAATACGCTTCGTTTTAAGCAGAGAAGAAGGTGTAGAAATGGAAAGTTGCTACATTACGTCATAGTTGAAAAAAACTTTAATTATTTTTAAACACTGAAACAACTTTTATGCTGATCTAATTCAGGGTGTGGGGAACTCACAGATCGAACCCTGAAATAACCTCTGGGCTGAGTTACTCACAAATCAAATTGGAATTTAGCATGTTAGATTTCGTGGAGGAAGGAAATCCAGAGAAGCCTGAGATAAACCTTACAAAAATGGAAGAGGGCCAACGATTCTACTCTCCTTAGTCCAGGAATCGAACCAAAGACCCCAGAGGTGAGAGGCAAGTGTACTAACGCTACACTACCTTTGAACTGCAAAGCGTAATAAAGAAATTTGACAATCACATGGCAACCACCAGTGATAAAGATGAGCTACCTTTTTGTACAAAGCATCAAAAAGGAATGAGACTGTACTTTACTGTTCATCGTCGTTTACAGGTCTCTCTCAAGGTCTAGAGACCCAGAAATCTAAAGATGATAATGCTATTCGAAAAAGCACGTTCACTAGCGTGGCAACTCTCATCAAGAAAAAACGTGGCTGGCGCAAGATTGTACAACAACGAGACCAAAGAAAGAAACGCAAAGAAGATAAAACAAAACTCCCGTTTGTGCCAAGAAAAGAATTTCAAAAATGTGATTCTGCGTTTCCTACTCATATATCAGGTAAATATCTTGAAACTAATCGTGAAAAACGAAATGCGAACTTATACAATATACGAAAAAGCCGTATCTACAACTTCTTTACTTATATTGGCCATCCCGGGGCTATGTAAAGACTCACAAATGCGCAAGCTAGCTATGCAAATACTTTGGGGATACTATGAAATGTAAAGATTTACAAATGCGCAAGCTAGCTATGCAAATACTTTGGGGATACTATGATGAAATATAAAGACTTACAAATGCGTGAGCTAGCTATACGAACACTGTGGGGATGCGATGGTTTACGCAGTTCGTTTTTCAGCAGTTTCGAGAGCAAGAAAAATTGAGGCTAATAAAAATTTATTTCAGGTAACTTGAGTAACCTTGTTTTCTCTCTTGCTCAGGCACGCTGGCAAGAGTTTACCAGTGCAACATTCTACAGACCGAGGCAAGATACGCAAAGAAACGTTATGAAAAACCCTGGCTTTAACTAGGCTGCCTTTGCCAAGTTTCTTTCTAGTTATTCGCCAGCTCGATGTTACAATATAGACTTGGAAAATGGACTTCCAAAGAAGCAAGATTATCAAGGACAAGTGCTACAAAGGAAAGTTCAAGTAAGGGATCTTCAGTTCTCGCAATTAATGTCGATGCGAAGCTACTATGAACATACAACAGAAATCATACTTTCTCTCGTCCTAATTTGTTGCATTTGTTCCATGTTAGCCTTGTATAAGAGTCCGTAATGAGTCCATGAAAACACTAATGACGAAGCGTCGGAAGCAGGAAGTATTGAACAAGTAGCACATCAAACGACATCCAGAGCCAATTCTCCTTCGACATCAAAGTTGTATAAAGAATTTTTTGCTTGGAAAAAAATACGAATTGGAGTTCCTGTGTATGCTATTGCTGGCTTCCTTTTTACAGAGTTACAAGTTGAGAAAGACAACCACTTTAAACCAGAATAAAAAATAAAAAATATGTCTTGATTCTTTTTGTTATTTATATGTACATTATCATACATTATCATCTAACGTTATACATCTAGTACTGGCAGTCCTTAGTCTTCATGCAGAGAAATTACATTTCTTTAACAAAAACCGGTCTGTGATACATTTTCTTTGTCATTTCCAGTCTTTCCCGGTCAGTAGCAGGCACAGGTCGACCATTCAGGGTATTTACCCTCACAGATCACCACGTAATGCGCCATTACCACTCAACAATAAGGCACGCAATGGTACTCCTTTTATCTTTGCGGCTATTTTCCATGGTCTAGTATCAAACCAGTTTATTTTACCTTTAATTGTTAGACTACGATGACTGAAAAACACGCGCATAGTGTTGTCCAAGGGTGGAGATGTTGTTGATGAAGATCGCTTTGACTACTTCCTTTTGAGTTGTGAAAGAGCCTGTATACAATAGAAAAACAATCAACAACAACGATATTAATGATGATGATAATGACGGTGATGATAGTGATGATAATGATAGTGATGATGATATGATGATGTTGATGATGATAGTTATGATGAATGATGGTGATGATGATAGTGATGGTGATGATAATGTTGATGATGATAATGATGATGGTGATGATAGGGATGATAATGTTGATGGTGATGAAGATAGCGATGATGATGATGATGATAATGATTGTGATGATTAGGATGATGATGATTAAGATGATGATGATTAAGATGATGATGGTGATGGTGATGATGATAAGAATGTACTGTTACGTGTGACGCAAGTGTTCTTTCATACCTTGTTTCCATAATGGTTCATCTTTGGCCATACTCGGATGAGGAGGATTCTCCTGCAAACCAGAAAAGCTTGTTTACTGTCACAGTTCTTCTTTTCCTTTTATCCCTATTAATATATATTTTTACCTTCAAAACTTTCCACATGGTATTCGTCACAGCATATATTTCTTTTGGAGAAAGAAGATGAAGGACTCCGCCAACACGTGATAGGGGCACTGGTAACCAGTTAGCCTGATTGATTAGACAAGAAGTAACACATCAGTTAACATATAAACCAAGTAAAACAAGAGATGCATGCGTGACATACCTCCACCATTGCCTGCATTATATACTGAGTGTCATGGAAAAGTTCAGAAGATTGCGTTATTGTTTTGTCACGACACACTTCCCAGTTAGACATCACAGTAGCAAGTAAACTTGAAGTAACGGGAGCACATTTACACAGTGATGTAATTCCTTTGAATGAATGGAAATGGAGTTAATGAATGGATAAGGGAAATTGGAAAAATGGAAATAATCCCCATTAATATGCAGCGACCAGCAGCAGCAGATTTGGGATGTATTTTTTTTTTCATCTTTTTTTTTTAAAAAAACCCCCCCCCCCCCCCCCCCATAATGCAGGAAATAGCATTTCTGGGAATCACATTTCAAGAATTTCCCTGGAGCATCCCCTGGGGACCCCCTTTGGTTTTGTTTTGCATAGTCAGTGATGAGATTCCTCTAACACCAAATTTCGATGGCCTCTCTCTTTTCACATACATGTATTACTGGATAATAGTTAATAGCGATCAAAGAAAGTATGGATAATTGATAAATAAGATGCTGTCAAGACTTACCTTTGGAAGCCAGTAATAGTATCCACCAGAGTATCGGGTTCTCATCAAATGTCTTCCTAATTTTAATATCTCTGAGAATTTTGCAAAACAACAAAATTGATATATCAAATATTTCCTTATTTGTGGGAATAGATAATGGGTGTGTGTGTAAGATCAGGACAGTAGTTACAACAACAGTTTTTGCTCTTTCAATGGCTAAAGCTTATTTTGTTATTTTGTGAAAAACTGCTGTGCCATCTCATGCCAAGCTGTGCCATGATGGCAATGTGTCTGACCCTTTTCATTGGTTGAGCAGTAATTATGTGCTGTGATTGGTTTAGACAATGTCGTCAATTCCATAACCATGCTGTTCCTCGGTCATGCAAAATCTGCTCTCACTTTACACAACAATATGGTACCCTTACCTTTCTACTGTGAATTTAAGGCCATCTTCATCAGGCCATTCACCTACAGTCGGCACAACCTCAGGACAAACTATTTCCATCAGCAAAGAAGCCAACAAGTCGGTATTACTGGTTACCATGGCTGCTTGATCTTTGTGTTCAACGTCCTGGCCACACTTGCACAAGGACGTCAAGGTATTAATGTACACTTGGCTTGTGGTTAACCATTCCTAAATAACTATGTGTCATTAATTGATATCCTCTCAGAAATACAATGACACAAATGCTCAACCACTTTCTATTTAATGTGATGCCATAACACACCTTATATTAATGGTGGACATTGCATAATTACAAGATTGTCTTTTTGAGTTGCTCACCCTTGTTTTTTCTGTCTTGTTGTCGGATAACTTGGTCTGTCCATTCCTGCACTTCTTACCAAACACCCCAGTAAAAAACAGTGAGGAGGGACTGAGCGCTAGACGTGAGGATATACGTGGTTTTCGGTTGTAGTCAAGTAAAGATGTCAAGTGACTTTCGATGGGTTTGGATGTATTGTGTTCTATCGATATCATCAATGAAACAAGATAAACAATTAGCAGACATGACAAGTATTATATAGAACTAGGATATTATGGCACCAATTAGCAAACTGCAATACATAAAGAAAAAAGAGATAGAAGAAACTGATGGGAAAGAGAAAGAATGTTTTGTTACCTTGAGATCTCCCACCAAGTAAAGGAGCATTTTCCTTTAAAAACAAATAAAATAAATTACTTTTGAACAGGTAATATTTGTTTTTTTGCGACCACACCAGTTGCATTCTCCTCAGAGTGGAAGCTTGGGAGGTGTAGCAGTGAGTGGTCACCTCTCACCAATGCGACCTGGAATCAACCAATGCGACCTGTCGTACTCGACTCGGTGTCACATGTGAGTAGGGTTTCTAATTGGTTCTTTCCTGTCCTTCAAGGGTTTTTGCTCGGGTTCTCTAGATTTCCTCCCTCCCAAAAATCAAGCTCTAAATCCCAAATCCTAATGAAACAAGGACAATTTCTTTAGAAATAATCCCCTTTAGTTAAAACAAATGTGTCGTAGCAGATAATTTTATCACCGTAGGTGCGAAAGATAGTAGACTGACGTTTTGGACGTTAGTCCTTCGTCGGAATCCCATTCTTAGTCTTACTCACAATATATTATTGGATTAAGAGAAAATACTACCAGTCATACCTTTAATAATGCACACTCTACTATTATCCTGATCAACAGCAGTCTGCAGTAGTTGTCCCTCGATAATTTTGTCATCATTTGCTCACACAGTTTGATACATTCAATGATGTCTATAGTATAGTTTAAAAGATAAAAAAATATTTACTAGAAAATAAACAAGAGCAGGTCCAGAGGTGTGGATACATACCAGTATAAGAACCGTTCACCTCTGCCATATCTTTGAGATGTCTAAAGAAGAACGATGAAACTGCTCTACAAATTGCACCTTTAGTGGCAGCAGTGTTATATTCAGCCCCATTGTACATCAGTAGTAAAGACATAGTTTTAGAAGCAACTGCAGAGTTACTATGGTTGATGAGGGATGTGATGGTAGAACAGTGTTCTTGTAAGTGATCCACAATCTTACATCTGGTGATACAAATAAAACAAGCAGTGAGTGTTAGTGTGAGTAGGCATTGCAATATGTAGCAATCACTGCAGAGAGATGCTGCCAGTGCTTTTTAAACATCACAAACACAACGCGAACAATGTCACGACAAGGACAAAGCACTCCAATCACATTGAGCAAGAGAAAAGAAAGCCAATCAAAATTCTAGGAAACATCACGGTTGCAGCACGGCACTGAACTTTTCACAGTCATACTTACAGTACATACCTTGGAGGGAAGTGTTCCGTATTCTCAGCTACAACTAGTTTGAGTAAATTCTCAAGTAAGTCCAAAACCTGACAAAAGAACAATTTATCTTGAACAATGCCTTGATCAGAATAGAGGCATACAAACACAAGATTTACAATGTAATGGAAGACAAGATAAATCTCACCATTTGTGGTTTCAAAGATGCATTGCTGTTGCTAAGTAACGCAACACATTTCTTGAGCATCTCTCTCAATACATTCTGATAGTAGAACTCTATCTCACATTGCATTTGGACAAAGACATTTAAATCAGCATTGGTCTTGCTGTGAAGAAGGAGGTAACTCAGAACTTGTGTTGCTGTGGTTTCTCCACTATGAACCGATACCAAGACTGTCGTGCGGAAAAGCCAACCAAACCTGAAGAATATTGTTGAAAAATAATCAATTCAAAGGTGTTAAGACCATAACAAATGGTCCCAACATCTGACCCAATTTTTAGCAAACATACAAAAGACAGGTGAGATAAAGTATAATATTGTTGAAGGACAAGGCTGACATGTGATATCAGTGAATGCACAAACCACTGTTGGTTTCAAAATCTACAGTACATCCTTTTCACCACAAACATAACACAATGGAACACAGTTGTATTATACATAGCAACAGCACCAGACAACCAAAAAAGAGTGTAAAATATAAAAAAAAGACAAGCTGCAATATTGTACCTTTGTCCATTGGACCTTAACAGTTCTTGTATCAGTTTGTTTGAATAAGTGGACATCTCCAGCAGGAARGCACTTTCTGTACATGTTTTAACCAAAGGAGCAATAACTGATTTCTGTGTGTAGAGYTTGTGTCTCTGACTTGTTACTTCTTGAAGTTTCAATAGCAGTCGTTCCTGCACATTATAATGTAAGTGTATTAACCCTGACTGAGTTGTGAAGGAAATGGGGGCAATAAATCCACAGGAAATTCATCAGTTTATACCGTGGAAAGAAACTTTTAGATAAAGCCTTTTCCAGCATGTAACACTGCATGTATAGAAACCTTTCAAAAGTTTTGTCCAAAATATATGTACAGATGGACGGACGGACAGACAAACGGACGGACGGACGGACGGACGGACGCAAGGAAGAATGTATGGATAAACAGATAGCTGAATGGATGGATGGATGGACATACTCCTTACCATGATATAAATACTTGTCTGCTGTACTTSAGGGTGTGGTACTGTCGTTTCCATATCATCTGGAACAGAAAATCAATTTAATCACCTTTTTGATAAAAATAAACTACACTGTACTGTCTAGTGTTGCACCCCCTATACTTTATATCTATACATATCATATTATTATACCTTTTCCTTCCCTCCCCTCCCCCCTCAAAAAAAGGTGTCACAAGAAGACATTATGTACACCCTGTAACCCTGTTCCATTTTTGTCCTTATATCAATTTGATACCAGTATTCAATAAAAAAAATAAAAATGTGCACACATCCTATGTGCAGCAGGTTATAGAGCATGCAGAGTGTTGYAGAACATGAAAGTGCAAGGAAAAGTATGACGCGCTGCTGTGTGCTCTCATGAAGCACACACTCTACAGCCAATCAGAACCCAAGATTCATAATACAATACAAGTTTATTTTGCTCACAATTTTATAGTTACAAGATTTGTCAAAAAAAAAAATATAGGAAATAGTAATAGATATAAATAAGAAGTATTCAATAAATAAATTCAAAAGTGACATTATAACAGTTATTTTATAATGTTCTGAAGCGTGTGTATCGTCATTATGTACCTTCATTACTCGCTGGACAGCAGTTTTCCAAAAGAAAACAGAATATACTATAAGCACCAGTCTCAACATTAGTGATGATATCCACAAGGACTTCAATCAAACTGGAATCAAAAAACAAACAGAATTTGAAATGAAATTTAAATGTAAAACATCTTAAATGTTTACTATGGATGCAATGCATAGCAATGCATTTCAATAGGCCCTTTGCAGTTAACGACCACATGACTGTACTGGAGAGCAGAATTTTTGTTTTGATTTTAAATTGGTGATTCTTTTTACAATGTAGCTACTTGTTAAGAACTGAATTTAACGATGTGTAATCAGTGAAGCAGTGTTATGAAACACTGTTCTATTACGATCTCTYGAAACAGGTTGTAGAAAGTTTGTTTGCTCACCAGTATATTTCACCTATGGGAATCAAGATGTTCATTCATTTGCTCTCAGTGAATTAATCAGCATGTGATTACTGAGCTGCAAAGGGCCTATTATTAATAATTTCATATATTGATATAGGTTGTCGCAGACACTTTAAACATTAGTTGACATTAATATTGGATCACACAGTGATCACGTGCTGAGTGTGTGTAGCCAAGTGAGAGTGATATACCTGGACAGATTAGTTCGGAATCGTTGTGGTTTTTTGTGTAGTAGTTTTATCACTTAGTAAAACAATGAAATGTAAAAGTAATTCGACGCTACGTTACAGTAATAAACGCCATGATCAACCTCGACATAGGTAATATACTGTACCTTGTATGTTTAGCATAGAGAGTTGACCTACTAACTGACTGATCATAGAGCTTTATAAGGACACTTGGAGTGACTAAAAAAAAACAAATGATTTACYAATACAGCACAACTGTAGCAGGACTTGATTAGGGGAATCAAGGGGGTATGGTACAGGTTCTTCGGGGCCTTTTCATCCAGTGTCTGCTGATTTTACATGAACTACATTACTTACGTGATTCCACAAAATCTGACAAAGTCCCCTTTAACAGCTCAGGGGACAAAGAAGCTATGTGCAACAGGAATGGAATGGTTGCTAACTGTTCACGCATCCCCTTGTCATCAGATGTATCTTGGAGAAGGCTTGACTGCAAACAAAATCATTAATCAATTTAATGCTCCTTTAAATCTTTTTTTGTCCATTAAATAACCTTGAATACTGCAGTTGTTGGCAAAATTCAAAACACATATCTTTTAAAAATTAATAATAGTCTTTGGTAAGTGAGGGGAGAGACATACATACTGTACTCGTATAAATATGAATGTTGTGTGTAAAAGCAGGATTAAATAAAGAATCTAGTGTTATGGGAAGGTGTTTTTGAAGATAACATAATAATAATTGATAAACATAATAGTCTTACATGAAACAAAGCAAACAGATGTGTCTTGATTTCTTGAGCAAACTGGATAGACAGGTAACCCAATACTTGTACAACTGTCGACACCAGTACAGACTTCTCCTCACTCTCATCATTAAACGTAGCTGCATAGTCCTTGAGGGCTGTACTCAGTAGCTTTTTGACAATGACATCATGAAAGTGTGATACAATATGTGCGACCACCCAGTCTAGATGAGGGGAGTACTTCATGGATATCTGCAACAGTGTCTCCATGCAGATATCWGGATTATTGACAACTCTATGGAAATAATAACAATATACATATATAATGTAACCAGGCAGGTGCTACATGTAATGTGGTGCCCTCTCACCAATGTGACTTGATCTCATATGTAAGTAGAGTTGCTTGTTGGTTCTCTCCTGTGCTTCAAGGGTTTTTCTACAGACTCACCAGTTTTTCCTCCCTCCACAAAAATCACCTCCTAAATTCCAATTTAATCCTAATGCTTGAATACAAGCCTCTGGATTGTAAGACGGAGTAATCACTCCCTTCATATTGCAATGCAAAATAAAATTCCTTCATTTACATGAACTAACTTGGAGTATATTGAACTTACAGTTTAGAACAGCAGTGGGTTGCTATCCCCATCAGCATCTGTACTGGAGGGAATGACATCCATTTGTGGAATCCTTCACTGAACGACAATGTAAGACTGACTCCTCTCTTCTGGTCAAACTTTGATATCAAATCACCAAGAAGATTGAAACACCACTAAATRAATAATACTCCAGTTAATACATTAACAGAAAAGCATGCACTTAGTTTCATAACAAGAGAGTGGGGTGGGGTGGGATCCAGTTTTTACCACAGGTAGCCCAAACATTCCTTTCATTGCAGATGAATCYCAAGATCCCAGAGGCGAGAAGTGAGTATACCACCACCACACTACTAYCACACCTGATCCACATACAGTACAACTGTATACAATACCTCAGAAATTCTTACTGATAGACATTGAAAGGGATCATGATTATAAGATGTACCTGACAGATTAGCAATGCCCATGAGGATGGATTGATATTAACAAAGTTCCTGACCACATCACATACTCTGTGAAGAGCATTGTCTAGATCTGCATCCACAACATCTGGTGTGCTATTGCTACCTATAAATATACAATCATTGATTGGCTTTCCTTTAATATGCAATAAACTAGATGAATTARTGCTGTGGAATGTGTTCTCCCAGAGTAAAAGACATCTTAAAATGGGGTTAGAAGGTAGTACAGGTGTATGTGTGACACATGGAGGAAAGGTGGTTGAATAGGTAGAGGGGCARCAAAGCAAGCAAAAAGTTAATGGGCAAGGGCAGGTGATTGGTGGTAGAAGGGCTGACTAAGGTAAAAAAGGGGAAAAGGAAGGGGTGAGCTTCTTCTTCCACGATCATGTAACCATGACTATACTGCAAAAGTGAAATACCCCCCCCCCCCCCTCACTCCTAGCATGGCTACCTAGTAACTGTGCCTTCCTCTCCATTTCTACCATGTACTTATGCATAGATTCGTGAAACGCATCACACAGCTGTTCCAAGACAGCATGTCTAGCACAAGGTAGTGACTGTAGTAARACTATACAGCATTGGATCTTGTCGATGGTGTTGAGTGATGAACCACCAACACTGCATCCTGACAAGAATGAGTTCAAGTTCGACAGCAATTCCTACACAAAAATATAACGATAACAGTTAGTTTTTTGAATCGACGGCAAACACAATAATATGGACTTGAGTTGGGCACTTTAAGGTTTCTTTTACGGAGGTTTTTTGGCTTTATTTACTAACCTTTTCTCTTGTCTCTAAAATACTCTCTTCGTCCGCCATTTTGAACTTTATTTATATCCAGTCTCTACCCATGTGAGGCAACCACAGCTACTCCACTCATAATATTCCAGGCAAACTACAAAATATAAGATTAAAATTTTCATGTATTGAGTTTTATGACAAATATTATTTATATTTAATGATTTGATATTAGAGAAATRTTATTTAAAGATAACAGAAACTGATATAATTTTTTGGACGAAATTTCCTATCATGCCATGAATCACAGACTTTGTCCAAATTGGTCTTCCTKTGTGATTCTTCATAAACATGTGTTTTGATGTTGTGAGAACTCAAGGTGAAATAACTTGGAACACTTTTATTCAGAACGATTAATTCAGCACACTTGGCAGTGCGACCCAGACCTGAGATAATGGTGCATCAGTGTAGTATGTTTTGAAGCAGATCAGACATGTACGGAGGAAGGAAATCTCTGTTGTTTCTCCTCCTAACMGTCGGGGCAACAGGAACACTTTTCTGGATAAGTGCTCTTTACTTCAGGAGGAAACGAAGGCAGAAAGCAGCCATYTCTAATGAAGAATCCTTAAAAACAGACGAAAAGCCTAAAGGAAGAGCCCTTAGAGCTTCAGGTAGGGCTAAAAGAAATCGCAAAACAAAWCTTATCTTTTAATATAGCTATTAAAATGTCGTCACAACCAGGATTGTCATCACCTGTGAACCTTGAACTGAATGAGATTTCAATGGGATCTCTATTATTTGTGGTTTATTTTATTCCTCAAGCAAGCAKTAACAGGAAGATTATTTTAGCAATAGCAAGCTTGCTAAAATAATATAATACTCACGCTAACAAAGCTAAGAATTACTCACTAATATATAAGCTTTTATATATACTGTAAACAAACTCCAACATGCAAAAAATAAAAGCTTCCAATATTTATGGGATTATCAAGCTTATGTTTGGTTTGGTGGTTGAATTTTTACAGGTGTTCACGTGTTCACTCTATTGTATTATAGATACAGCATTAAAACCTGGATTATGGTGGCTTACTAAGATTTGAAGTGGGCTCCCTGTGGTAGGAATCAACATGTACAGAGTTCCTTATAAAAGGTTATATGTTTACTACATTGTAGGTTTACTGACGAGATCACAGCTAAAGAACAAGCTGGCTAAAGATGGAAATGAAAACAATTCAACTAGGAATGCTCAGTATGATAGCCTAAGAGGTGACGAAACTTGTGACAGAACAGCCATGATACCTGGTAATGATAAATGTACCTGGGTGCTGTCAAACATATCTGGAAGATGTTTATTTACATCTATAYGTGTACACACTAGCTTGTATACAGGCTAATGATACTGATGATCATYATTATGGAGATAATRATGGTGATGGTGGTGTTTATAGTTTTTGTGATGATGTTGGTTGTGTTGGAGGATGTTGATGTCGATGATAATGATTACAGTGATGATGATGGTGATGAGGATGATCATGATAATGGTGGTGATCATGATGATGGTAAGGTGGTAATATGATGGTGGTGATGATAATGATGACATGATGTTTATGATGATGATGATGAAGATGATAATAGTGTTGGTGCATGATGATGGTGACAATCAAAGTGCAGTTATTATGATAAGGGTGATGATAGTGATGATGAAGATGATGATATTCTTATTAAGATAAAATAATGATATTATTTCTATCAGATGGTAGGGCAGCAGACGAAAATTTCCCATCAAATTCAGAAGAACTTGTTGACAGATTCATCAACCAAGGTAAAAACTAAACATATCAATATAATGACCACTAYAACAATAGTTATATGGTGTTACATCTGGTGCTYGTAAAAATAAATATWYTTKGATGGAAACTTRTTTTAATAGGAGTTGAAGAGTTTGGGCTAGCATTGGAACACTGGTATGAAGCAGCCAGATATTTCCTTGAAAGCAAAGACCAAGATATGAACAGAAGGAGGATTGAACAAGAAGGTACCCTGCGTATCATGTTAAGCTGTTCAAGGCAGATGAGGACTGCRTTGGTAATACAGGGAATGGCTGAAGATAGAARCTTTGCTGTTGCACCCAAGAATGTRTTGTCATGGATTGATAGTGATGCCATGATTGAACAAAGTGTTGCAGAAATAGCAGAAAAATGTTCAGATGATTCAGATGCTGAATCATTTGTATCAGCAGCTTCTGAAACTGCTGCATTAGAGGTACAAGTAAAATGATGATAATAATAATAATTAATATTTGATATTTTTATACAGTAATAGAGTCCATTTTTGGAAGATGTTTAAAGTAGCTGGTATTTGAAAGATTCTTTCCATCTTTGTTCTTCACTAAAAATAGCTAAAATTGTTAAATTCCTATTTCTTTTTCCCTTTTAATTGTTTTCTTTACATTCATCCTATGTGTGTATCAGGGAAGGATCTACAGGAGGGGTGCAGGGGATTAGCACTTACTTCCCTTGATACGTAAGGTGTTATTAACTGCTTCATTCATGCACCCCTTCATTAAAAAAATCCTGGATCAGCCCTTTGTGCACCCATCACTATCTATCTTCAACAGAACATTTGTCACTGAATACATTTTTTCCCTTGTGTTTTAGTTTGACGATCTTATYGACGAAAGGTTCATCAGTGAGTCTGCACAGTTGAAAATGTTTCGGCAAACTATCCTGAAGGCTGCTGGCCAGCACAGGTAATCCATCAGATGATTTTTTAGTTAATTAAGATTATAAATTATTGTTAACTCATTAATTCTGTATTATATATTAGCCATTTAGACTTCTATGTCTTGGGTCTGGAGCAGTATGCAAGATGTGAGGTTGAATGCCGCAAGATGAGGTTTGATGTTTTACAAACATATATTACATCCAACATGTTTTATCATCGTGTTAATAAAAAGTATTTATCATTTTCATGCTTGTCTTTGGTTTTATGTTTACTTGCATCATGACAGGACAGAGGTGGTTGGTTGTGAAAGTGACATGGAATTCTTGGCCAAAGTTGTGTGTATAAGACAGGCATCAGAGGTATTGCTGTGCATCTTTTAAGCCCAACCATGATCTTGGTCACATATCACCAAACCATTTGAAAATGTATTTGATAACGTTTTACTTGAATGTGTGCACACACTTTTGTGACTATTTGGCCAAATTGGAACAGCCTTTGCACACTAACAGCTGTATTTCAACAGATTTCACTCATTCTAATATATCGTTTTTCCACATTGCAGCTTGCTTTCTCAGTGGCTGAAAATTGTACATGGATGGCAGAAACAGGTCGCTTCATGCTCTCTTCTGTCATAGATGCAATGGGAAAGGTAACTGTGGATATGCTTCCATTTCARTCATAAGTTCCTGTGTGAGGTATGCTTAACTTGTTTCTATTGGTGTTTCAGGACCCTGCGAACTTTGAGGCTGCATTTGATGAGCTTATYGAGTACTGTGCAAAACCAGAGAACTTGCAACAGATCAGTGATGAACTAATGGGAAGACGGGTACGCATTTACCATTAAAGATATCCCTGATTATGTCCATGTGATGTAGAAATAACATCCTGGTCCCATTGCAGCACTGATGAGTATGTTATTTGTTTAGGTACCAGTGATTTCTTTCTATGACGTCCCTCTTGACTTCATTCTATTGGAYGCCTTTGATGACTTGGCAACCCCACCTTATTCAGTTGCCACAGCAATCCAGAATCGCTGGCTGTCAGCAAGCATCAAGGAAACTGTAAGTTGATGGAGTAGYTTGTGTAAGACTGTGAAACRCCACRGTCACAATATTGATTGACGACATCATTTGAACCGATCGCAGTGGGCAGGATCACTATTCGTCCAATGAGAATGCTCAGACACCGTGAGGAGTTTTTAACTGTCATAAGAAATCTGCTGTAATGTCATTAAGTCATGACGTGATGTAAACATTGAAAAATGAAAATTGTTCTTGCAAAACGATATTTTGCAGATGGGACTGTCACGTTTGTTTTGACAGTCAGCTTCTGTTCTTTTTCTTACTAGGCTCTTACCACAGCGATATGGGGAGTACTGAAGGCTAAAGCTTCTTATCTAGAGGTGAGGTTTTACGCATCCTTAGGTATTCTTTAAGGTAAAGGAACAAGGTTTTCATTTAATGTTTTATYCCTCTATTTGTTTCAAAGAACCAATATGGTTTCATGGCGCATTTTTACGTGGTGTCTCAGTACATCCTTCCTTGTCTGGCTTGGGGCTTCATGGGACCAGATGAAGAACTCAGAGACCTGTGTAACTTCTTCAAAGTAAGTTTGCTTAGAAATATATAAAACCGGTAGCACATCAATGGAAAAACAAAGAAAAAAACCTCATCAACAACACACGTGACTACTTTTGAGCAGTTAAAAACGATGCTAAAATGGACCAATCATTTTCATGTCAAAGTGACGCCAAAGCTACTCGATGTTCTTAACTTTAATGTCAATGTTGTTTCTATTTTTAGGATCAAATTCTTGGTTACATCAGAGACGTGTTCAGCTTCGATGCTGCAGACTATTCAACAGTAACGAGCTTATCAGAATCCATCATCCAGTTAGCCAAACGAAGGACCGACAATCTTGCTCAAAGACTACAACAGTCTTCGCCAATTAATGGACTTCAAGTTTCCACATGAGATATTGGAAAGATGGAGTTCAAGTCAGTGAAGAAAACATGGAAGGATTTTGCCATCAAGGAAGATGGCCATTCAATGACAGAATCTCAACGATTTAGTTCATAATATAAGATCAATACAAGATAAAAATATTTGTTCTTAAGATGATGATAATTGTTTTGTAAATATCGCTACAGTCAAGGTGATGTCATCTCGTGGGGGATGGGGGTAGTGGGTTTGATCATTTTCAGCAAAGAGGTCACACCTTGAGTATTTATAAGTACTTGTAACATTTTTAGCACCATTAATCTGATGCAAAACAAGTTGTTTTGCGTGACRATTTGCCTGCAGGTGACATTAATAAAATTGCTTTTATAAAATGGGCTTAATAATTTATTTGATTGTATCCATGGGAAAAGCCTATCCCACGTCTAGTAGACCAGACAAGTTGTCAAGATAAAAGATAAGACATATATGTACTAAGTGAACAAGGGTCATGCGTGAAATATATTCGTATTATCTGTCAAATGTATTCCTATGGACTGTATAATTAATCTCGTAACGTATATACATACTGATCTAAACATTAGTTCMGTGTGGCTTAATGATGCACAATATTGTGGTGGAAGCTGAAGATTTCAAGCCATGATGTTCTGTTCAACAACAGAACTGATCGGTAAAGGTTAAACAGAAAAGCAATTCTATCAAGCTCGTCTTTTTCACAGGAGCAWTCAATCATGGCTGAAACACAAGGTCAAACAAAAGACATCCAAAAAGGGTATTTTACTTTCGTCTTTAGCTTCAAGAATCATGCTACTGAGTTCTTCTCGAGGGAAAAAGAAAGGATAATTTACTTAATGGGAAAACTTTATGATCTTCTAAGTCCTGTGATTGTGTTTTTCTCGTTCTTGTTCACTTTGTTGCGAGGTTTCCTCCTGGCGATCAAACATGGCATCCAATCTTTGATTGCGATCATTCGATCGATTCTGCATTTTGAATTTAAGCAATTACTTTTTTCACTTAAGGCAAAAGTGAAGGATTAYCTAGTTCGAGCGAAAGTTAAAACCTATAAAATTCTATGGGTTCCTATTAGAAAACGAATGTTCAGGTTGCGAAAACAAGCGAGGAAGAAGCTGCTCGATGTCAGGATTTATTTTCGTGGTTTACTCGAGCTTTGTCGAAGGTTGTTTCTTCTCGTGAGCGACTACACTCCTGGAGGCCAATGGACAGTYGGATTGTTTATTCTTTTGTCTACGATATTCATTGGCATTGAACTTTTTCGCTACTCAAAGCTCGTTTTCAAGGTTCTGAACTTAGCTTGGTCATCAATAATGYTTTTGCTCAGTCCTGTGATATGGACACTACAAGATGTCTGGATTGTAATAGCATTTGTCCTGAATATTTTCCTCTCATTGGTACGATATATTTGGTTCCTTTTCATGGCTTTCCTTCAAGGGATTGGCAACTTTGTTCTCAGAGTCTTGACAGCATTTCTATCAGTTATTTATAGAATATTATCATGGATTTTCGAGCTGAGATGTGTGCAGTATGTCTGCCATGTCTTTATTGAACTCACATTAATGACAATGGAAGTATTTATATTTAAAGTACTTCCAGTTTTGATGACAGTCGTCTCGCATCTCATTACCATCTCAACCATCGCAAGCAGGTATTTTTATGAGTATTTTGTCGCTGTTTACACGAGTGAAGAAAAAGATCATAAATACTTTAGCAATACCAGGATCTGTGCAGCAATGTTTACATTTATTTGCCTTATATTGGCGTACAGACTTCGAAAGACTTTCCCCTCAGATTTGTGTCAAGAAATCGAAGAGGAAGGTTCATCTGYAGGAAGAAGTCGTGCGAGACGACTAAAGACTGCGAGATACTTAAGGACTGGAAGAAAAGATGACACGACAAGCCATGAAGATGAAGGTCAGTATCACGATTTGTCGCATACGACTTGCATTCGACATTTCAAYAACCCATTGTTCTAGTTTGACTCTTCAAGCTCTCAATCCATAAGAGAGTGGTTKTATAGATTCTGTTCTTGAATGCAGAGTGCCAAAAAGAAGCTTATATTTCTTATCTCTTTCAGTTCATTTTCAGCTTAGTTCCTCGGCCCATATTTGCACRGGGTTCCTGCGAGGGGAGTGCAATAGGGGACGTCGATGTGAAGGTCACCACTGTCCCTGGCCCTATCATTGGCAGTATCGTGTCCCTGTACAAGGATGGAAAAGCTTTAGTCCAGAAGACAGTGACATTATAGAGCAACTTTACTGTAAACCAACAAATGAAGTCGCCAAAACAAGCGACATTGATCCGGACCTTTCCGCACTTACACGAAGGTAGGTACCCCATGGCTCCCTCAGTCCTTAGTTGTAGAGGCAGGTTCGAGAATGCAAAGATGAGATCAAAGTTCAACAYTACATAGCTTCTAAGCATATTAACATATTGCAATAAACACCCCTCTAGTTCAGTGTTGCGCGCACGTTAAGTAGGTTCCCGCCAAGTCCACGGTATATGCCATGAGGAGAACTATTTTGTCACAAAAAGCGTTTTGAATCGTCTGCTTTAGGTCCCACGTGAAATCCGACACTCCAGTTTGTCTAGACTTCCAGCAGATGCGAATGGAGGTCGATTACTATCGYTCAGAACTAAGACGCTTATCAACAGAGTCTTACGTGAAGAAACCGTCTGATGTCCTGGCAACCAGGTGGATCTGGTACCGACTTAGTGACCAAGGGGAATGGAGCGAATACGGAAATGAGGTATAGTACGATGACTTGATACGAACCGACCCTCCCCGCCACGGGGGCGAGAGGCGGGTAAGAGGGGTGTGACCGATTCATTCATAGTTGCCATGTTTATATCRACCAACATGGCGGCCATGTCTTTTTTCCTTTCATTCTCATTGGAAGGGATGCATGCCATCTTGAAGAGTTATTTTATTAGGTGCGGTCGATGGGCCAGCTCATGAGACCCATCTCATTAAATCAATCTACCGACTTATGAAAGATAYGTTCTTTATTGACAGAGCATTCCTAAACAAGAAGCCATCGAGGCATCATATATCCGAAGAGAAAGTTCGTACAACTACAARAAACAAGAGCAAAACTACAGAATCTATTTTTTCATGACACCAATGTACGAACGAAACATGAATCCAAGGGAATATAAGCGAAGACTGGTCCGAAGACGACCAGAGTACCAGCCCATAGAGACTTGAATATGGTAGCTGATCATGATTGTACGCACGAGGCGGATCTCAGGGAGGCTCACCTGGTGTCCGTACACTACCTTCCTGTTTAGAACATGTACATCCAAAATGCGGGAAATAGCATATTTGAAGAAATAAAAGGTTTCTCCTCTCTGCAATGAACTAAATCAAAATCTTAGTTCCTAGAATCACTGTGGTAGGGCATTTTAACAATACTAGAATGACTAGCTTAGTAGCTTGAAGGCGCGCGCGCAACCCATACCTTGCATCACTAGAGATTAGTTACCAGATCACCATCGACTTTCGCTGATCTGGGAGACTGAGGAACGATATGCCCTAAATTAATTCAATCATATTAGAAGAAGATTACGACATTGTTGAAGCTAAACATTGGATAGGTGGAGTTCATGACGTCTATTTTGCACTGCGCACTCACTGACAGTATTTGTGTGGTACGTTACCATGGTTACCAAACATGACTGCGCCCATATAGAATCGGATTCCTGTAGACCAAAACCCGAAAGCCAAAATTTCAGATCACTCTTTGGATCAGAGATGTAAAAAGGATGTTTTAAATAATTAACTTTTAGTTTGTTTCGCCAGACTTTCTAGACACAATAGATGATGACCATGTCTTAGATTTGAGGCTCACAAAATCCGGCCAAAAATGTTTATTTTGAGCTGCCGGTGTTACGTGCTCAACAAAACAACTGTACTGACATACAGCAATAACAAAATAAAGGTATAGAATAAACCATGAAATCTGTTTTAAGAAAAAAGCTTTATTGTTTAGTAAAGGTGTGCTTGATCAGCTTATTTAACTCTCAACTTGTTTGGTATAATAACTATTGACTGACAAGCCATCTGTCAGCGGTGCTTACTGCTCTCCCGGACAGACTAATAAGCTTTACACAATCGACTGTTGGTTCACACGGCTTACTTCTAGCTCAGGTCGTCATTTGTTGTCCATGTTAAAAATACGAGTCGTTTGGGAAAATGACCCTGCATAGCTGTTATATTGTTTTCATGTTCTTGTGGGTTCAGGCCAAGTGTTTCCGTAACCACAATTGATTCAGCCCTGTGTCAAGTACGGCTGTTGTTTATAAGTTTTCTAATGTCGGCCTTAAAAGAAGCTTTATTTACGTTAAAACATCTTTTGCGCCTGCGTCAATAAAATCTATACAAATGATTAGAGTACAGCTATGAATATTGCAACCAGACATGAACACAACGAGTACACACATCATGTGACCCATCCAAACTACGTCTGCTCTTCTCAGTTTTGTTTGTCTGTCTTCTTATTTTATTCTACACCTCACCCATGCACTCCCTTGTTGCCGCCTGTCGGGTGTAGAATCCAGTGAGTATTGCGCATGCTCTCTACTCCTGCTCCGCCATATTAGACAGTTTTCATTCAGATATCTTCTGCTTCCCTCTTTACATTAATACTCTGTGCAGTACTTTTCTAACTACACCTTATTCCTATTTTCTCTCCGGTYACCTCGTGTAATTGAGCGCACAATGTTTGAGCCCACTTACACCAGTAGAGCTAAATAATAGAGGGTGTATTTGTGACAAAAGCGTACTACAAATCATCCGTTATAAAAACTAAAATAATTGTTGAAATTTTGTCAGCACGCTCGCTCTGCATGACGGGAAGGTACGAGTAGATAGTTAATCGTGGGCTGCTTGTCATGTGAAATAAGCAATGTTGAGGTTGTTGTAAAACAACAGTAGTCAGCAGGCGCGCTCGGCATGACGGGAAGGAGATGGGCCATGTGGAATAAGCATTGATGAGGTAGTTGTAAAACGGTGCTTGACAGGAACAGCCAGGTTAATACGGGTCACTCGCCTGACAACCATTTGTTCTTCTCAGTTTATTGGAATATTTGTCAACGGCTAATGGCAGCTGAAGATCATTTTTATCGATTGATGAAAACGAAAAMCTCCAAGATGATGATCTGGTTATAAATCACCTCCTGGCAGGGATCTGTGAGGTAAAGTTAAAGTTATAGCAATCGATGATACTCGAGTTACAAGYGATTGCTTACTTAACTGTTGTACATTACTCGAAGTGGTCGCTTACAGGAGGTGGGCGCTTATATCAATTAAGTGGTCGGTTCCATCTATAAACACTCTGAAGTATTACCGTTACTTACAGGCTGTGGTCGCTTCTATGTGTCCTGGTCACTATTTTGTCATAGTTTTACATCAAGTGGTCGCTTYTATGTGTCCTGGTCACTCTTTTGTTAAAGGTTTACAAAAAGGTGGTCGCTTTGTATTAAAAGAGACGTGACCAATTGGCATGAAATATAAGCTATATTCATTGCGACAAAGTGCAAAGCCTGCGCACCTTCCCCTCCCTCCACACTTATGTCTTGAGGGTCACCGATATTGTAGTCTTTGTCTGTCATCGGTTACAAACGTTCCTTATCTTTCACATCAAAATCCAATAACTTCAAATGTACATTTTAAAACAGCTATTATCCCAGTGTTTGTGTTTTGGATCAATTGATGAGATGTGAAGTGAACTAGAGTGCGGTGTAAAGAGAAATAAGTTCGTGACGCGTTCATCTTGGTTCATCTTGACCATTATCATTGTCGTCTGTTCGGACCAAGCGGAAATCGTGCAGTCTTTGTCCTGCAGAGCCAACAGTCACCCTGTGAGATGAGTGTCCTGGCACAACCCGAATGACTCAACATTAAGATATGTTCGTGCAATTCTTACTCTTTTAGGAGTCGCTAATATGTTAAGGAAGGAACACTAAAGTTTGGATCATCAAACTGAGAACAGTCCATCCTTCTCCTCTAACCACTACTAGTAATTGTTATTTTCGTCTTCAGCTCATGYGAAAATAACTAAAGAAACAAAAAACCAGAAAGAGAACCATGAAAATGATTGAACTGTTTGTTTTTGATTCGACTCGAAATGAGAGAATGTAATATTTTAAAAAAGACGTATGTTTGCTAGACATACTGATATACCCACGAGAAGGTAACAAGTAACCTTAGTAATCCTCTAAGAGCCGTTTACCGCAGTAAAATGGCTCGCAGGACACAAATAGGGCATCATCCACATTCATGATTAAGTCAAAGCGTTACATCGAGACGAAGAGGGCGTATAACAGCTCATTAGTAAAAATAACCTATGAATCGTTGACCGAGGTCTTTAGTTAACCCGGAAAGGGAAACATGTTGTTTAAGTGTTCACGGTTTTGTTATCTTTGTTAAGGGTTTATTTAGGGTTTTGTATTGATCTTACGTCGTTTTTATGGCATTGTATGGTTTTCTTAGCAAAAATAAAGATAAATAGATCTTAAACTAAGCGCGTTTTTCCGGYGGGAAATGAATATGTGACTGATTGTGTCATGGTTTGTCTCGACGCATTGATCCCGGCCCATCTGACCACGTCTGTCTGCCCAGGGGGCTTTGAAACATGTTCTAATATTGATGGTATAGTTAATCGATTTACAAAGGCGATTTCCTGTATCACATCATCAGAAGTGGCGCAATTGTTTAGGCATTCACAGCTTATACACGGTGTTTCTTCGCATTGTCGGCTATGATCCAATTAATTTATACCTTATTTTTGACTGTTGTTCTAAGAATAAAGTAAATCAAACGAACTGATATATTTCCTAGTCTAGATATTTATTGATCAAAGATCATCTGTATGATTGTTARTAATAAATATCAACATGATGTACCTGATTCCATTTATAAATCTGACTGATTCATTATACCACTTATATAAGTGATTATATATAACCCGCAAATCCTTGGTTGCGCATTTTATCTATATGCGCATGTCTTCAAAAAAAACAGTGCGCAAAATATTGCGGTCTGATGTGAATACGCTCTTCATAAGCTCTTTGGGTGAGTACCGTATAAAGTCGCCGGTAATTTTGTTAATTTCAATATCATTAAGATAACTTGTCAGTAGTTAAACCCGTGAACAATAGTTTTCTGTGTACGAAAAAGTGTACCCGCTATTCCCAGAGAACCTGGTCGGCAAAGTGCTGTRAACCGCCTGATGAACCATAGGAGGTCTGTGTTGCAGACGAACCGAATAAAGTAGCTTTTACAATTGGATTAATTTATCTCCCTTGCTTGGGAAAAAACTAGAGACATATGTTTRTTGAAACAGGATTCCTTTGCGCTCAGATGTTCTACACAAATGTCTGCTTCCGGCTACCAAGTGTAGCGAGATGTTACAATTAAATATCGCGCTCTTATTGGACAACATCGATCATCACGTGATAGATAAAATCTACTTAAGTTTATAATTCAGTAATATTTACAACCGATAAATCGTTTCACAGTCGAAAATGTTATTATCGATATTCGGTTCGCAATCAAATCTAAGATGATCATCGTGGTGATGGTATTAGTATCTTATCTAAGGCGTTGGTTTCTGGTTTAATGGAAAATCCAGTCGATGTCTAGCTGCACTCACGATTGAACTGCACAAATGTGCGGGATTTTTTTTTCGGGTTTCGTGCTGAGCACCAGGATGGCCTTACACTTTGTTAACRCAGTAGCTAGGCGTGCTGGAAAGCTACAGGCTGTACGCTCTTTATTAGCAGTTGTATTAAGATAGATGGGAGGGGATAGGAGCACCGGCAGGAGACAATGTCCTGTACGCACACATAYTAGACCACTGAGAGCACGACTAAGGAAAAGACATCACTGCCCAAGGTCGAGGCGTTTATCGGTGCTCTAAGGTATGTCCTTGGGGTCTTATGCCTGCGGCAGAAAAAATTCTTTCAAAAGCCTTTAACAACATTAGAGAGTACAGTACCGATGATTCTGACGATTGAGGTTACATGTTTAAAATAGCCAGAATATAAATAGTCGTTTATGAATAAGCGGTACAACAGATATTTACAACAAGTTTGATTTATGAACGCATTGACAAATAAATCACAGAAAGAGAAATGGTTGGTCAAGCACCCGTTGACTAAACGATTCCCAGAATGTCTTCATCCTGAATGCCATAATCCATTACTTTGATCGATTAAGTCAATACCATTACGTGTGATTCAACCCTCTTAACTTCAACGATTTATAAAGATTGGAATCAAATCCGTGGAGTGGATAAAACCAGTAATACGTCAGTGAAGTCTAAGAGGACGACTTGAACGTGCAACCATTTATTGGCGAGTTAAATTCATGCTGGGGCAGGCTTGCACGGATCTAAGAGGACTCCCGAAGCGTTGACACAAATAAAGCTGGCTATTCAGACGAAGAGCAATAAAGATTCAAAGTCACCTTTAAACCTAATGATTACTCACGACCAGAGTCTCTCACTGCGGGGCGGTACAGCGTAGTGTCCTGTTCGTACTAAGGTAGATGAATTGGATTCTATTAATAGACCTCTTGTGTCACTTCCCCAACGACTACAATCAATTTATTAACTTGTTGTTTCTTTTTTGTGGGTTGATTTCTAAGAGGTTTATTTGTGTTTATCCTTTTGGGTTAAGCGTCTRTTCACAGCTATCCGGGATCATGTCCGCATGAAGGTGGGATTGCACAGAGATCGATCGACAGGGCGCTGATCCAATTAGGAACAGATTACATTCCAATTAACGTATTATTTACAAATATTTACAGAGCTTTTGTTCCGTCAAGTAGCCATATGAGGCATATTAGTTCTACTTTAATTGTATGTCAAACAGTTTAATCTGGTTGGTATGCTATGGCAGCTATTTAGACATCTCATCTTGTCCAATATACTCATCAGCCATCTAACCCATTCACACCAGACCCTCTAGCCTTGCCGCTCAAACATGGCGACAAATTTTAGCATTAGTTCTTTACTAGGAGAACCTCAGAACAAAAATCTTGATATTACCGTGAGAAATTTTCAAGGTTTAGGAAAAAATCAATCGAAAAATGGTGTAGGTGTTGGCGACCAAGGTCATGATGAAGGTAAGTATCTCAAACTCGTCGTGTTACAGACTCCGTGTCTTCTGCGTTACCAGATTAGTAAARAACTCATTTTCCCTGGACTCGCCCCTTTAACAACTGGCGTCAGAATGGCTCGGAAAATATTGTCTAATATAACGTATTGTTTTGATTTAGTTGAAGAAGATAGCGGTACTGAGTCAGTAGCTGATGAAATTGAAAAAGCCTTCTTCGAGAATGGTGAGCAGACAGCATTTCTACACGAACAAAAGATTCACAACAACAAAGCAAGGCGAAGGCGAACAGCTTTYACCAGCAGTCAACTGAAATCATTAGAGGAGAAATTCCAGGAAAAGAAATATTTGACAATCAGCGAGAGAAACAACCTCGCTAAGAACATGCATTTGACTGATACACAAGTGAAAACTTGGTTCCAAAATAGAAGGACAAAATGGAAGAAACAAATGGCGCCTGATTATGAAGCAGCGCTACGAAGCGAAGGAATCAACGCATCAATGTATGGACAATATCCAATACCGCTAAGTTATTACAGCACGGATTATGCCATTCCTTTTATTCCTTCGTCTAGTCAGGGCTTTGGAGTTTTACCAAGCTTTAGATTCCCTCCTTCGAACTTACAAGTTTTGTACTCCAACATGACGTTATACCCGTATTGAATGCGTGTTCAATGGCCGCCACTTCTCCATCCTTACCGCTCCTTATCTCAGACTCTGTACAAATATACACTACTTCTACACGATAGCAGGATTTATCAAGACATTTTAAAACATTTTGACTCTAAGCAAAGGCGCCGATTATCACTCCTCAATAAGGTATATGTAATATATATTGGCTAGATCATTGTTTTTGTTAGTATTGCCACTTTCAATCCTTGATGACAATCAAAAGAACTCAGTTAATTTATTCCCCATTTCTGATCAGTGCGTGTTTTGTGTAAATAATGGTTGTATTATGTACATGTTTGACTAAAAGCGATATATTTGTACATTTGAACTATAAYTGACTTCGAATGAATTTGATACGGTGTGATTTGGGTTTGCGTGTAAATAATCATGATTCATACAATATCAATAAATAATTATAACATGGAATGCTTTTCGATATCTTCATCAATATTTTTGGGAAGTATATTGATGGATTAGATAGGTAATAAGTCCATAGGATTCCACAAGATGAGAAGTGTTTTAGTGATGACGAAGCGGAATGTACGGAATAAAGTAGGGGATGTCACTTTGCGGCCAGTGTGGAAAAGCGTAAACCACCCACTTTTCCCTTTCTTTGGTTTCTTTGCTACCACTGGAGAGAAGTCCTTGTATCATGTGAAAATATATGAGCGGGAAAGCTAAGGATGTTCAAGTTGGATCGGTGACCAGCCCAATATCTAATATAATTACTATAATCTATSGAGTTGGTCTGAAGAGTTCATTTGTTGCTTTTCACGTCAGCTTAGATATATTTATCCCTTAGGATGTGATTTGTTAATCRATAGTTTTGGCGCAGCGAGTCGAGTCTTACGATTCTCTCCCACGAGGATAAAGTCGTAGCACATTTACATCCAAACGTTCTGTGGGTCAACAGATTTTACTTCATGGAGGGATTGAAACTTCGTCACGAAAAATCACATAAACAATCCTTGTATGTAGTGAACCGAGTCTCGTTGACATATGAATCATGTGCAATGGAAGGACTCAATTGAGAATCAGTTTTTTGTTTATCGTGAGAAAAAGGTTTAAAATTAGGCTCAGTTTAAAAGAAGAAATTGCAATGGAACTGATATTCTCGTCATTTATGAGGCTCTAAATCGCTTCACCTTTTGAAAATGGATTGCAGTATTGTCTTATTCGTTTTGTATTATTGATATAGTTTTGTGCAATTTTACGTACGAATTCCTCATTCTGTCCTATTCTTTTTGCCAAGTTTAATGTGTACCTTTAGTTAACAGTATAGTTTACAAGACTAGCTACAACCCCATTAATGTTGGTTAGGTGCGCGCGCATCGTGTCACTTAACGCATCCCCAGGGGAATATTACATAAGGTTGTTCCATACGCTATTAACGAGCACCTCTTACTCAAGAGGACCTACAAAATACTGTATTTCCTAAGCTGGTCTCCCACGAAGCAGCGCAGGCGATGGCTGGTCTATCATTTAGTTCTAGTATGTTAAATATTCGCTGGCGTCGGTTACACGCATGCACACGACGTTAAACCAAGTTTTTGGTTGTCGCACATCATCAGCCGCCAATACCCGACGTGAGCGCGCGGCTATTCTTGAAAAAAAAATTAAAGATTTTTAATGTTCAGTTGTTAGTGATACAAAGCCTCCTTCAAGATTTAGCCGTCATTATAGCCTATAGATCAGTAACCTAGATGAGGGTATCATACGATGTGTTTTTTATCCCTTAGTTGAGAAACTTTTGATAAATAAATCAGAGGGAGGGGTGTAGAGGGTCGAAAAGAATACTTAGTAGRGTAGGGTAGGGAAGGAAGTGTTCCCCTCCCATTTCTATTTTACCTGCCTTTTCACGCACAAATGCTGTCTCGGTCTAAACACGACAACAAAGCCAATGTACGCGTCAAGTCAAGATCATATTGGCAATTCTTACTCGAATATAGAGCTAAGTTCAAGTTCAAGGCCATGTACTGTCTGTCTCTGATGGATGGAACGGTTTCTTTATAGTTTCTGCTTTCTATGTGTCGCTGCTGTCGTTGCTTCGACTGATTTTAGTTGTCTATGTTCGTAGATTTATTAATTAATCAATTTAATTTTGCTCTATGTTTCATCGAAAGATCTCGTGGAGTATGCCGTGTAATGAGTATGACGGCATGGTGCTTTTCGGTCAGATTGTTTCTCTTTCTAGCTTTTTCYCGACTGTTCGTTCGCTATCCGAGGGATCTCTTTTCTTTAATATTGCATGACTTGGCAAAAGATTTGTACATCCGTTCCCTAGATCACAGTCAATCCGTATAAATCATTTCCGATGGTCTATGACCTACCCGCACAGAACCAATGCATGTGAACTGATTCATTTAGCAATCAAATACTCACCGGTAATTGGTAATTAGCTACTATCCTTAAACTATGACTTCTCGCCGTATGCCAAGCGGTTGATATTTAATAGTTTGAGTCCCAGTGAGTCCCCAGTGGGCTAGTAAGCCAGAGGAATGTTAGCGCGCACATCATTAAACACCTAAAAAGCGAAAAAAAAAAAAAACGTGAGCAATTTTCTATTTATTTGATGACTCAGTAAAGTAGGAATTTCCCATTTGTCTCATCACCCAGACTGTATGTACAGTTCACGTGATCTTTCATCATCATGACGGAATGAAAAACGCAGTCAAAAATGACGCAAGAGGAAGATTGTATTGTCTTTTGGTAAAAAAATATGAATAAAGCTAAAGACGTTGACGAGAATCAGTCGTAGGGTCCCTTTGAATACCATTCAGAATGCTGAATGGGCCACCCTGTGTAAATAATGTATCTGATGTGCGCTTAGCAATTAACCCGATTGCGTAAAGGCTCAATCGAGGCTGCGATCAGAGTACTTGCCGAAGTATTCAATGAGCCAAGGGAAGRTAATGAGGAAAAAACACCTGCCCCAGGGCCGTACCTAGCATTAGTTAGAAACAATAGAATGTTAAATGGKTAAAGAAAGGTCGTTCATCCCTTAGGCATTCACGTTGAAAAGAAAACCAAATGCGTAAATCACCGAACAATGACCTATTGAGTAAAATGGGCCGGGAAAGCCTACCTGAATACTCAATYGAGTTTAAAAGGAAAAGGGTATTTATTTATAGAGGAAGAAATCTATTAGCGTTGAAGGATTAAGTAGAAAGTGGGAGGTGTGCTGTATTCATCGGAGATCACCGGATAACTAAATGCGGGAAACCTTGCGATACTTGAATAACCAAATCRCACCCATATCTTGCATGTATTACTCGGTGTTAATACCCATTAGATCATAGATTCTTCGGCTGCGCTTCTTGGTATCCTGGCGCGCGCATTACCCAACCGATAGAGAACCATTAAGATGCGTAAGCTATTGATAACCAATTATTGCTTGATTCATGTGTATTGGATTCAAAGAATGAAGAGAGAGAGAGAGCGAGAGGGAGGTCTGGTTATTGTTATCATGATGATGTGAGAATGACACACGCACTGTTGAATAGCTTCAATCTTGGCGACTATTTCTGATAAGTCAATTAGTCTAACGATGAAAGCTTAAATGAAAGGATTAAACAGATGTACTTTGATYAACGTACTCCAAGGCGCAAGGAATTCAGACCTAGTCTTTATYTGTTTATGTAAAAGTTATCCTCAAGAATGGCAGTCGATGTGACGATTTCGAGGAAATATTTGTCAAAAAAATCTCCTCGTTGCGCGTATTACTGTTTTGCGCTAAATGAGCCAATAAACGAAGTTATCCACTCAAGTATCTTTACCCCACGCTGTGCGAACGGAAAGCCATTTCAATTGACCGCGGCCGGTGTCTTGTCTCTCTCCCCTATTGCACGGTTGGCGGCAACTAGACAACTATTAGGTTCATATAACACACTAAACAGTTGTCTTAAACGATTACAACAATTTCGAAAACCAAGCAAAAAAACAAAAAACAAAAAAACAAAACAAGAATAGAGTGATATTTTCCTGTATTCTGAGAGGCTTGTCACATCGGTCGTATAGCCGTATGTGTGTTTTACATTTAGTTAAGAGTTACGAATATGGTGGGTTTGATGAAGTTGGTGAATCAGCGCAAAGGGAACCGTAGGGAGTAAAGCCTTTTTGTTCTAATGGCATAATCATAAGCATTAATGTATTATTTACAAATATTTACCAACTCATTGTTCTCTTGAGTGTCGCACGTGAAACATATTAAGGTCCAACGTAATTGCCTGTCAAATACGTTAATTGAGATGCCCTGCTCAAAACACTACTAACCAGTACCCTCTATCGATCGACCTACTTACAATCCAGTCTGCCTGATCCTCTGTATTAAAGGGCGTCAGACATCCACTCTTTGTTTCACTCAATCTGCGCGTCTTCATCGACATGTCTTCGTCCTTTAGTATAAGTGCAATATTAGGCAACGATGGAACCAAAAGCAAAACACAAGTTGTTCGGGGAGAAGCGTACAAGCCAAGTTTCATAAGTAAAGGTGAGCTCTTRTATCAACAGGTTTTCGATTTGAAAATAAAATGTCAAACGACAAAAATAAAGCGCATACTTAGGAATGCAGAAATAACGCAATGTATTGATTGTGTTCTAGAAATCAACGTTCAACCGAAAGACGAATTGAACGTTGTTGAAGAAGAGAACCAGGCTGAAGATGATACAGAGTCTTTAACTCCAGAACAGGAAATGATGGATTCACAATACGAACAGAAATGTCTCGTCAACAAAGCRAGGCGAAGGCGAACAGCTTTTACCAGCAGTCAACTGAAATCATTAGAGGAGAAATTCCAGGAAAAGAAATATTTGACAATCAGCGAGAGAAACAACCTCGCTAAGAACATGCATTTGACTGATACACAAGTGAAAACTTGGTTCCAAAATAGAAGGACAAAATGGAAGAAACAAATGGCGCCTGATTATGAGGCAGCGCTACGAAGCGAAGAGATGAATCCATATTATGGCCATTGTTCTATTCCTTTACCGTGTTACGCTGAACATGGTTTGCCGTATTTACCAACTAGTCCAACTGGACCGCCAGGATATTTTGGAATGTACCCAAACTTCTATCCGACATCCAACCTACGAGTGGTATACTCAAACATGTCTCTCTATCCATACTGAATCTCGAGAGACGAGACGTTGTTGTCAACTAGTAGGGTAAATGCGTTGTACAGTTGTATAGTTTTGTTCCGAAAATGATTGATTCAAGAGAGTCAGTCCCAAGTTAAGACTTGTATCTCGCTTGATGTTGGTATACATCCAGTACTTTAGCCCTTCATGCCTTAATACTTCAATGACATTGTCCTTCTATCTCGACCGCGCGTTTGAATTCGCTATCAAAGTATTAAGCATGTTTGAATGTTCTGCGGTGTTAAGGAAATCTTTTTTTAATGTTTAGAAATACTTGATACACGTTTTACACTCGCAAGATATTTGTTTAACTACGCCTACCTTTACAAACAATCACCACATACGTTTGATCGTGAATTAAATCCTTAACTGAATCACAAGACTAGAGTGAGTTAATTCCTTAATACCTGGTTCCTATGCGTGGGAAAGGACACCGATACATACTCATCGGTATATACTAAGATATTTAAGAATACGTCGGGGGCGTTTATGCCTGACTTCGTTGTAGAAAGTCATTAGGCTTGATATTCACTTCAGTGAAGTGGTTAACTCGATCAGTGTTCGACAAAAGCTGGCTGTTCAGAAAGCACAAYCTATTGATGAATCAAGGCGGTCCTTGTGAATATTTCAATGGGTCAATAGGAAGATAAAATTGTATAAAATTGTTAAAGATTTGTTATCAATAAACTACATTGAGAATGTTGAAATGTTTCTGTAGTAGATGGATTCGAGGTATGACGGATGCATGGGAACGAAAGCTATCACAAGTATTTTTGCATTGTTGTGATCTTTCTTACTCAACAATTCAGATTTTCACTGTTCTGCGCCGCTGCTATTCTTGTTACTAGATGAAAAAGTCATGTTTAATTTATTGCGCGTTAAAGCAACAAAAGCTTCAAGCACTTATAGCGACTACTATGCGTGTAGGTATGCCATCTCAACACAACATTTCTCAACATTTTTCAACAACTCCACAGAGCCTATGAGTAATAGTGTCCAAGATATTCTACAATTCCTAATCAGATGCCTTGCAAAAGATCATGATTACTTTATTATCATTGCTTCCTGTTCACTGTAAAACAGTTARTGCTGAAGTACCGTGCTGGGATCCGGCAATCAGTTATAGTGCTGTTACTCCAGCAAGCGCATTTCTTGTTCTCCRAGAAAAATACGAGTCATACGATTCCAAGCACTTCAATGCGTATTTTATACTTGAATAGCTAAAAGGATGAAAAGACATAGCTGCGCATTGTCAAAAATCAGTCGGTAAAGTGTCTGGTGTATATGATTCGCAGCGAATTATTTATGCAAGCAGTTCCGGCCCGAATGAGATACCGCAATATAGACAATAATAATCAATACCATGAAGCGATCAATAGAATATGTGAAAATCTCTAATGTGGCYCTCTTTGATACTGCTAGCAGTATTGCTGATCGTACCATTTACTATATACGGGAGTACATCTAGACGATACGCGCGCGGTTAAACGGCTCGTTTACGTGTATAAACATGTTTGATAAGGAATTAAGGATCAAATTAAGACAACAGGATGATAGATTCAACACCTCATAAACAAGTCACTATAATAACGGCGTTTTTATGGTGTTAAATAAATTAAACTTATTTCTTATCTTATTGACGATAATATGAGCGTGGGAAAGTAGCTGGTAGCCGGCTTCAAGTGATATAAGAATAGTGAATAATATTGATTCAAGATGAAGCTAGTACAATCTGTGCTGCTATAATATACGACAATTGTATCCTCCATGAAGTAGGATGTTAGGGGAAGAGCTGCAGCGAGATTTACTAACTTGGTTTACTTCAACCATGAATTAAAGTGTTTTATATCAGTTGCGCATGGTAAAGGAATATATTGGCAAGCAATTATAAGCTAGAATTGTTCGCCTCAGTCTCTTTAAAACAAGATTTTGTTGGTACAAGTCACAGCTGATTTTGTTTAAAGCAATCAAGCCGGATAACCTTTAGTATCGATTAGTGTCACAGTCATTAAGATGTTAAACGTGCCAGCCAAACTGGCGCATGAATTTGTCATCATTTTGCGTGTAGCAGATCCTCGCCTCATCAGCACTCACTTCTTTTTATTGACGCTATCTTGCTTTTACTCCTCGTGGATCCCGTCACTCGGAGAAGACATTCTCCCTTGCCGCGGTTACATAATCTTTGGTTCACGCGCAAAACCACTGATTTRCTTAGTCCGCAGCCTCTGAGTGAGTGCTTATTTGGACACCGAGTCTAATCGCTTTTCTTACAAAAGGAAGTTGTTTTTGTCTCGGCTCAATTCACGACAGTAAGGACAGTAAGTTAAAATAGCTTGCATCGAATGTGAATAAGATACGCGTAATGACAAACTGCTAACCATGTTCCATGACTGGTCGATTAATCAGTCATTCAGGCCTGTACAATGTGACTGGCCGCTGGTTTATATAAATTCATAGTCCACCTTACACAAAACAACGCTGCGTAGTTGACTGGACTATTGTCATATGACTTTCATGTGTATAGAAGAAATGAGCTKATCCAATTGAAATGATTTAATAAAAGTATAAATATCAAGAGAAGCACTTGCGACAGAGACCTTGAACTTGCTACATCCGGACTAGAAAAATGGTTTGAAATTATCATTGAGATGAATTAATCCATGAATCCCAACGAGAAGATTTGTTCAACCTTCAGTTGAGTCACGTCGAACATCATCACCCTACAGCTCTAGCACATATATTTACCAAKACTCGGTCAACTGTTAACAGACTCATGACCTTGAATCATGCCTACAAAATCAAAGTATTCAAGGCAGCTAACATACTGTCATCGATATTGGGCCTACTCATTGACATATTTACTGCGCTAGCCTTGCTAAGGGCCTAAACGGTATCTTTAAGTATTGCCGGTTATTTAAACTGTTTGCGTCTGGACAGAGATTCTATCTGATGATGACCAAAGGTCATWATGAGCAACTGTGGGACTTTCGGAGTAAAACTGCCTAGAAATACACATATGCACCCTGATTAGAACRAGTCTAGTCAGGAGTTCTTTTGGGCAACTCTGTGCGACAACTATAAAAACATTACTACTCTAAAAATCCCATTACTTGATTTCCTTTTCTATTTCACTATCAATCGACTCTAATCCACTCACATGCATTTAATGGAAACTTCCATTCCTTCAAGGGGTTCTAATGGGACAGAAGTGGGAATRGTAAAGCACCTGGTGAAATAAATATGAATCTAATGGGAGAAAGGGCGTTGGCTTCTAAACTTTAAATTTACTTCATTAAACACTTTATCCTTATTCCTATTATCTGGATATTTCTATTGTTTGCGCACACTTCTAAACACCCGTAGAAGTATAACGACGTTTCTTTTTTCCTTTTTATGTCAACTCTGACTCTAAGTCAGATGCTGATAGATAACACGGCCTTCAGATCACTGACTGCTTGAGCACCTAAAGTATCAATCCGTCCCTGTCCTGTTTATCTTCCCTGGATGATTTTATAATTAGATTCATCTAGATAAGATTGAGAACTTTACATCCAATTAGTGTCATTTAGCTCACGACGACTCGCAGCCTTCCTGATACTAATCGCATTGAGTGTTGAGCATTTTTTGTTATTATTATATGAAGKCAATCGAAACTGACGGAAATAACAACAATTCTGATGTAGAATGGTCAAGTAAAACGTGTTGATCAGTKTTCTATTCAAGTTACTAAATATTATCGACTCAAAGAAAATAATAAAATAATGTTGAAGTTGTTAATGATGATTATGATCAAGACATGTAGTACTAGCATTTTACAAACTGCTCGATTTGATCATCAGCGCCAAGTACCTCCTGATTATCATTTGTTTTTGAAAGCGTTTTTTTAGGGTTAGGTTAAGTATAACTGTTAATTGTGGTTCGCGAACATTATTTCGAAGTCTATCAAGTTGAAATTCCCACACTAACAGATCTGCGGTCCAAATAGTCCGCATGTTTGGGATTCAAGTGATTAACCTCRGCTCAACCACAGGTCAAGTTCATTATCAATAGATTACTTCAATAAATCGGGATTCCATTGAGGGTTCTACTCACTGAGACCAACGCACCGGGTCAAGATCGTGTGTCGAAAACACTCCAAGTTTTTAACACTCGTTAATATCAACGTTAAGGTAGATTATTGTTCGGGGTCCCTGTGGAAAACTCATGGCCTTTGTACTGCGGTTACTATTAAAACTGTGACCCTGTATGAAGAATATTAAAGTAGCAGATTACAGTGAGCTGCCGTTAAGAAGGATTGACTCTACCACTACAAACACAGAGATAAGCGCACACTGATTTCTATATTGTATCTGTTTTGTATTGAGCCACTCGGATTGACCCGAGATGCTTTGCGGTCAGAGTTTTGGGGTGTGCGGGTTTCGTAACCCTTTAATGATCCAATACTTGTTTCTAGCTCAGATTGTAGCGAAATTAATATTATTAATATTTATAATAGATATTAATAATCCTTACATCGTGTTTGGTCTCTGGTTGTTTGACATCTCGCACATGATCCTCAGTGTAGTACATCAGTTCTACACCTTTTCCTTTCATTTCTGGTCCCTCGTTCTCCAATCCAGACACAATCACTTGTAGGAATGCTTCAGACTCTTCTTTTAAGACGAATACCTTGTCTAGTAGCTTCGCCATCTGTTCCATCGATAGAAAACATGGAGTGAACAAACAAGTGTTTACAAACTAATCACTCAGCCATGCCAGATGAAAAGGCTGAAATAAACAGTTCAAACAAATAACTTACTATCCTCGACTAAAGACCGAGAATTGATGATTTGGAACAAGATTTACTTCAAGAAATACCTGTTTAGGTTGAACAACGGAAATATTCAGCGTCATTTGAGTAAGTAAATCCGCTATCACTGTAATAAAATTAATTGTGCTCCGTTTGCCAGTGATTCATCGATATCTTGAGATTTCTTTGTTGCAGTATTGAGTCGTCACAACAGCCGGTTACTACAACCTTGTCAGCCTGTAGCCAATTTGATTCACTGAATTGAACTCAATCCTTAGAAGAACAGTCCAAGTTCAACGTCCCTCTCAGCAACTAAAACTATTATTGCTGATTATTGCGCAAAAGCGTAAAAATGATTTTGACTTGCACGTTGGTATTCACACGAAACAAAGTAATATTTGAGCCTGTTTTAATATTCATGATTTATATTGTACTTTTAAAAAACAAGCGCGCGGTGCAAAGCCGATCTGTTACCACTCACCCGGATTATGCGTTCACTTTTGTTGTAGTTTAGTTTTCTAATTTTTCTACAAGTTTATAAAGTTAGTTTTYTTAATGATCCATTAGATCATTTTTCTTACACGCTTATGGTGCGTTCAATATATTCTTTTGACGTGATTTCCTGGGGGAGAGGTGGGAATGGAGTTGTAATAGTTACACTCTTGTAGCAGTTTTTCTGCTTGAAATTAGAGGGGGGGACATCCAGACCTTAACAGACCTTATGCTTTACATACACTGTCAGTTTTGTATGATAGGCCGTAATCAATCTCAGGAGAAAGTGGATGTTCTATTTGAGTGGACTATCAGTCTCGATTCGATCTTCACATTCACCCCTATTCTACTTTCCAAGTGAACATTTTCCTTCATGGCCGAAAGGAAAAACACAGTTTTGGCTGGAAAAAGTAGCAGCTGGAAGGGGCAGTCACGTGACAGATTGATATTTATAGTCGAAGAGTGTACCGACATGTTAAACGCCACGTCAAAGCACGTGTTTGTGAGTTCAAAGCCAAAGCTTTGTGGATCACTAGAAGTTGACTGGGTTTTAAAGTGCTGTCTGATAAAGAAGAAAACACACTTGTCAATCCTTTTAACYATCGGTTTTTGTCCTAGGAATGGTGTATCCTGATGTAGAGTGAGTCGAGGGTAGACTTTACTTGGTTTCTTGTTTTGTGAACAGATGCACAGTTTTAATGGAACTCTCTGATCTGCGCACGCAGCATATTTCCCGTATGTTGTCATACGATCAAAGTTAATCAGTTTCATTTCCAATGACCGTTGCCTTAGTAACCCGTATGATTCAACTTCGACATGAAAAACGTCTTCATTTTGGTCCACTACATCACCAGCTGGGATGAATATATCCATGGATGTTATCAATGAGTTCCGTGCCGTGTCCTGTCGCTCCCTCACGTTACCATAACGAGTTGGAATAAGTCGAACACAACGGCGTTCATTMTCTTCGTGATCTGTTCTTTTCTCTTCTATCTTATTATTGAGCTGTCCTATTGCGAACTCTACAAATGCTATTCTCAAAGAATTATTAAAAGCAGGCGTACTCCACCCTTTACACACACACAGGTTAGGCAAGCGAAGTTCAAWGTCCTGACAAGTGCGCTGTGCTGATATGGGKGTAAACAGACCAGTCGGAGTAACAGGTCCATSAAGAGGTTTAGTCAAAGCCATTATTGAATGATGYAAGTCTATGATGTTGACCAATCGATGCTGGTTGATTCGAAGAGCATCCAGAGCCTCGTCACCCAAACGTTGAGCTACTTTATTTGGGACGATGAGAAAAAGATGAGGATGAAACATTTCAAATCGCCCCTCTAARGWTGAAGTATAGCTAGTGTAAGTATTGCCGTGATCTGATAAGATTACCGTCAAAGTGTCTTCACTCATAGACAGTTGAGTGACAAATTGAACAAGAGCAGGGTCTAGTGACTGGATTCTACGTCCAATGTGGTCATGTCCTACACTTAGACTCATGTAAGACAGTAAAGGTAATGCAGTARGGGTTGATGTGATRGCTTTTATGGTGTCYAATGTGTACTGCAGTAAATAGGAATGTTGAAAACGACCATTATAACAAATCTGGTCCCCTAGAGGTCCCATAAATGGGGAGTTCACTCCAAGAGAATCAAGAATTTCACAGCTTGAGTGAGTTAGTCCTGAAATGAAAAGGAACGAATACTATTTTATTATTTTATTCATTCACTTTGTTTCTTTGATGCAAAAAATCGTAAATGATTCCGTTATTTTGATGGACTTAGTGTAGCGACCATACATGTCAGGTGACCATACATGTCAGGTGACCATACATGCCACGTGACCATACATGTCAGGTGACCATACATGTCACGTGACCATACATGTCACGTACCCATACGTGTCACGTGACCATACATGTCACGTGACCTTACATGTCACGTGACCTTACATGTCACGTGACCAAGCATGTCATGTGCATGGACCTTCATACACAAAAAAAGTCTTCATTTGTATTTTGGTCAGATCTCGATAAAGTAAAAAAAAAATTATGTTAAGAACATTTAGTTTTTCTCCACTTTTCTTTATAACCAAAGCASATGTATAGTAAACAACTAATAACTATTAATAATATCTTACTAACCTATGTGATCAATGGAATGGTTTTTAATCTTTACTGTAAGTTCCCTCCATGTTCGCACACCTAAGTCAACCATAAGTCCCCAAAGCCCCTTCCAGCACAAATCTTCCTGCCACATTGTCTGATATCCTGCTCTAGAGAATTTTCTGAACATGTTCCCTGGATTAACAGGTCGTTGGTCACTGCGTTTCCTTGGGTCTGGTGGTAAAAGTTTACCGTTGAACAGCGCATGCGTGTTTTCAGCGGTATGTCCCTCAAGAGCTTGAAACAATTCAAAATCAAAGACCTTAGCAGGTGAATGCCTGGGATGGGTTTTCCACCATTTGAAGACTTGAATCGTCTTTGGTAGGGAGCGATAGAAGTGAGCCCGCGATACCGAGTCAAGGAGCAGAATGTTGAGGTTGATTTTGTTGGTGTCACGTGACTTGGAATGATTCCTTCGCACTGTTAATACAGGATCAAAGGGAACTAGTTGAGAGACTTTTCTCTTCATACCAATCAAAGTACATTGAAGAAATACAAAGAAAATGTTCTTTTGGATGTTCATCTTTATCACTTCCGGTAAATTCTCCTCGAGTTGTTCAACCGTTTGGAATTTTCTGTTGACTTTGATGAAGCCATCTTTTGGATGAGCACTCAAGACTAGTATAGTRTCAGGGTGTTCATTACATACAGATCTATTACACTGGACACGAATGTCAAGGGATGTTGGGTCAATACTCACATTGCAGATTATTCTTTGCAAATCGTTTCTACACTTGGTAAGACTGGGATCTAATGAATAAAACTGTTTTACAATYTGACATGACTGAGAACTCGCTCGATGTGGTACGCATTTCCCATAACTCCAAGTTATATTTTCATCAAGTATATTCTGCGGACAGTTTGAAGTATTTGATCGTTTGGGGGGTACATTTATGAACATTTCATCTTGCGTCTTCTTCTGGGATCTTCCTACAGGGTTTTTTGCCTTGGATATTTTTGTAGCGGTTTTTACAGTGGAAACTTGATTTTCCTCGCTTGTTTCTTTTAGTGATTCTTCAGGAAACTTATAAGAATATGTCTCAGGTATTCTCATCTTTTTCGTTGTCCTAAAGGCATCGCTAACTGATGTAGTAGACAACGATGTCTGGGGCTCATGACTGACCATTCTGCTCGTAGATGGTTCACGATCCCTTACTGTAGTAACACTAGAGATCTGATAAATATTTGTACGACGAAGAGAATAGGCCGTACTTGGAATATTGGCCATGTATTTAGTTACCAAAGATTTGCTTTTCCTGGYTTTACTATCATCAGTATTGAGTTCTAATGTTTTAGTTCGTGTTTCTAATCCACGATCRCCATCATCTGTCACATCGTCCACAGTCTCGTAGGGTTGTGTTTCATCAGCTAAGTCGACTAAATTGTCTTTGTTTCCCACGGATTCTTTAAGCTGCAGCCAATGATGTTTATAGTCGTCTTCCTTATTCCACGGTAGTCCTCTTTGATAACCCCAAACAGACAAACCACTTACAAATAGAAATACTGAAACAATAAAGGCTCTATTACGTCTTGCTCGAAGGAAACTGCATCGTCTCCGAATAGAGAGACATAACCGCATTCTTGGTATCTTCTATCAGCGGTAGTCTGTCCTACTGCGCGGGGAAAAGACGCTACAATACTCCATGTAAGAAATATAAGTAGTACAACAAAAGAATACCAGAATGGCCTCGAGCATGTCTCGTAACKCAACATGTGAGGTAACGCTAACTTCGCTATTAAATACAAAGCATCTTTGATTTCGAGTGTCACTGGTAATGCAATGCAGAAGTATACAACGAGCTTATTGGTTCAGTAAASTGACGAAATGAAATATTGACTGAATTGTAAGCACTGAAAGTTTTGTTA